AAAGCTCGACGGAAGGTCCGGAGGTCCGGGATTAGTCGTATTCCTGGGGGTAGCTCGTTCCAGAGGGCAGGTGCCCCCACAGAGAAGGCTCTCCCCCTGGGGGTCGTCAGTCGGCATTGCTTGACCGACGGCACCCTAAGGAGGCCCTCTCTGTGGGACCGAATTGGCCGGTGGGAGGTTATCGGTGGCAGAAGGTGGTCTCGCAAATAGCTGGGCCCTAAGCCATGATGGTTCTCCAGAACCTGTTAGAACCTGCTGGATTTCACCCCTGCCCCAACCCAATACAAGTCACAGTGAAAGACAGTAAAAGAAAAGAAAAATCCCTCACCCAGTGAATCCTACTAACAAGCACACAATCCTACCGCACTATGTGAATTTATTGTACATTGCGCTGGCCCCGCAATTCAATCGTACTACAGTATGTTGTTGTAAAGTTATTTTCCATTCAGAAGCCTGACAGCACAGGGATAAAAACTGTTCTGCCTATTTGTGCGGCTGCCTATGCCTACGTCATACTGCCTATGATGTCCAGGAGAATAAAGACGGGTTAACCAGGGTGTGAGTCATCCCTGAAGATTTTCCTCACTCTTCTAAGGCAGTGAGCCCTAGCGAACATGCAAGCCTGCAAGATTTGAATGCAAAATTTGCTATAGTCATTACATAGAGAAACCTCATTAGAATATTGGAACTGCTAATTTCATACCATTCATCAACTTGGAGTACCTACCGAATTCCACATTATTCCTGATTAGAAAAATAATTGATTTTATATTTCTTTTGTAAGATAGGCTCATGAAGCCTGAGCTCGGTTGGTGGGTTAAAATTCTTTCAAATTAGTTTGGAAAAAGTTGGACGTTTAGCATAGATGGCATCCAGTCTAAGACTGATTGGACAGAAATACACACACATAGATACATGTGTGTATTGCTTTTACTTAGCCGAGACTCTTAGAAATTATCCAAAGCACCAGAAGGCCAGACAAGGAATAATGGATGGAAACTGAACAAGGAGAGATTCAACCTGGAAAGAAGAAGAATTTTTCTGACAGTGAGAGCAATCAATCAATGGAACTGAAATTTATTTATTTTTTATTTATTTTTTATTTTTATTTATTTTTATATACCACCCTTCTCTGGAGACTCAGGGCGGCTTACAATGCGTTAAGCAATAGCCTTCATACTTTTGTATATTTTATACAAAGTCAGCTTATTGCCCCCACAAACCGGGTCCTCATTTTACCCACCTTAGAAAGGATGGAAGGCTGAGTCGACCTTGAGCTTGGTGAGAATTGAACTCGCAGTAATTGCAGGCAGCTGGATGTTAAATGCTGCCTTAGTAGGAGGCATTAGCTGAGCTCGCGTGCCCACCAATATGGCTCCACATGCCACTTGTGGCACGCGTGTCATAGGTTTGCCATCACGGGTATAGGGGTCTGCTGGGTGGGGGGTTGGACTAGATGACTCACAAGGTCCCTTCCAGCTCTGTTAATCTGTATCTGTACTAACTGGTCCAACTACTTTAAATGTTACACCCGCCTTAAGCTGCAGTGCCAGAAAGTTGATAAATTATAACATTAAACTTTCTGAAGGAATTTGGTCAGGAATGAGGAAAGCTTTGCCAAGCGTTGGCATCAGAAACATATTACGAAGTTTATTATTGCCTACTTTTTAATATCTAATCATTTTGTGGCTGCTCGTCTCTGTGAACTCTGTTTTTGATATTCATTTTGATTTTGATTTTGATTTTCCAGCAAGCTGGGCTGGCCTAACACTTTTTAAAATGTTTTTAATTGTCTGTTATTGTTTTTAATCATGGGGCCAAATTTATATATATCTTTTTAATTGTATTTTAATGTTTGTAGTTTATGTTTTTACTTGGCTGTTCACCGCCCTGAGTCCTCAGGGAGAAGGGTGGTATACAAATTTAAAAATAAATAAATAAATAAATAAATAAATTAAATAAATAAATAAATAAATATTAAGTATTCTGTTTTTCCTCTCTTCCTCTTCAATTTAGTTCTGGATATGCTGTAGTGTGATGTTTATTTTTTATGATGGATTTTGTGGGGTTGCTGTTGTTATGTACACGGACAGGGTGCAAAGGGCAGGTGAATAAACAGAGGGTGGGAATCCTGACAAAATACCCAGTTATTAAGAAAACTCAGTGGAAATCTTGCATTGTTCCCCCTCCCAAATCTACACAATGGGCACAAAATTGCAAATTATTAAGACTGATGTTAAACCTTAAAAACCATTTTAGGACAAAATAAGAAGTGCAGGGCTCCAGAACATCTTTCTTCTTTTCTAAAAAAAAACTTATTTAAAAAATATGTTGGAAGGACCAGACCAATTGTGCCGCTAAGTACTAAAGCTATAGTTCTCAAGATCAGGAAGTTTAAGATGCGTGGACTTCTAAGCATCTTAAACTTCCTGAGTTTGAAAAAACAGTGCTAAGGAGATATACCCTTAGCTAACTTTTTGTCTTTCCTAAAAGACAAACCCCAATTGAGCCCAGAATTTATGTTGCTAAGTGAGAAATTTATTACCGTATTTTTCAGAGTATAAGACGCATCTTTCCCCCCCCCAAAAGAGGGTGAAAATCTGGGTGCCTCTTATACTCCGAATGTAGCCCTGCCCAGCTTCTCAAACGGAGGTTTCAGAGGCTGAAAAAAGCATCAGAAAAAAAGTTTCAGAAAAGAAACCCCCCAAACAGAGCTTCAGAGGCTTTTTTTCTGAAGCTCTGTTTCGGAGGCTTTCAGGGGCAGGAAAAAAAGTTTTTTCTGAAACAGAGTTTCAGAAGTTTCAGAGGCAGAAAAAAAAAGCAAGGCACAGAGCTCACAACCAAGGAACCTGTTGCTAAAATTCACCTCTGAGAACAGCTGATTGGGGGTTTTCCGGGAGGCCGATCCATCTGCCAATCAGCTTTTTTCTTATTTTCCTCCCCAAAAAATAAGGTGTGTCTTATCCTCTGAAAAATACGGTAGTTTTACCCCATTTTACAGCTTTTCTCGCTGCACTTGTTAAAGTGAATCACGGCAATTGTTCACCTGGTAACACGGTTCTTAAGAGAACCTGGATTCCCTGTTGACTTTGCTCGTCAGCAGGTGGTCAAAAGGTGACCCTATAATGCCAGGACATTGCAACCGTCATAAACTATGAACCAGTTATTGAGTATTTGCATTTAAATCACCTAACCATGGTCCGGCAATGGTCGTTAAGTGTGAAAAAACGGTTCTAAGTCACTTTTTTTCCAGTGCCATTGTAACTTTGAATGGTCAATAAATGGCCTGAGGTTTTTAAGAAGAAGAGTAGAGTAGAGTAGAGTAGAGTAGAGTAGAGTAGAATAGAATAGAATAATAGAATAGAATAGAATAGAATAGAATAGAATAATAGAATAGAATAGAATAGAATAGAATAGAATGGCCTGAGGTTTTTAAGAAGAAGAGTAGAGTAGAGTAGAGTAGAGTAGAGTAGAGTAGAATAGAATAGAATAGAATAGAATAATAGAATAGAATAGAATAGAATAGAATAGAATAATAGAATAGAATAGAATAGAATAGAATAGAATAGAATAATAGAATAGAATAGAATAGAATAGAATAGAATAATAGAGTAGAGTAGAGTAGAGTAGAATAGAATAGAATAGAATAGAATAGAATAGAATAGAATAGAATAGAATAGAATGGCCTGAGGTTTTTAAGAAGAAGAGTAGAGTAGAGTAGAGTAGAGTAGAGTAGAGTAGAGTAGAGTAGAATAGAATAGAATAGAATAGAATAGAATAGAATGGCCTGAGGTTTTTAAGAAGAAGAGTAGAGTAGAGTAGAGTAGAGTAGAGTAGAGTAGAATAGAATAGAATAGAATAGAATAATAGAATAGAATAGAATAGAATAGAATAGAATAATAGAATAGAATAGAATAGAATAGAATAGAATAGAATAGAATAGAATAGAATAGTTGGAAGGGACCTTGGAGGTCTTCTAGTCCAACCCCCTGCTTAGGCAGGAAACCCTACACCACTTGAGACAAATGGTTGTCCAATCTCTTCTTAAAATCTTCCAGTGTTGGAGCATTCACAACTTCTGGAGGCAAGTTGTTCCACTGGTTAATTGTTCTAACTGAAGAGACTAGACAGTCACTTCTCTGAAACGATATAGGTTCTCCTGGTTGAGCAGGGGGCTGGACTAGAAGACCTCCAAGGTCCCTTCCAGATCCTATTTTATTCTTAAAAAAAAAGAGGACTAGCTGTCATTGAGTTCCCAGGCTTCAGACAAAACTCGATTGCCCCAGTCGGTCTTCCTTTTATCAACCTACATTTTCCCCCACCCCTCCTTAAGCTTCATCCCTGGAAGCTTTCAAGAAGAGACTGGACTGCCATCTGTCAGAAATGGTGTAGGGTCTCCTGCTTGTGGGGGGGGGGTTAGGGAAGGGTTGGGCTAGATGACCTCCAAGGCCCCTTCCAACTCTGTCAATCTCAGTCAAGAGCCCTGGTGGCGCAGCAGACTAAAGCACTGTTATTAACATCCAGCCGCCTGCAATTACTGCGAGTTCAAATCTCGCCAAGGCTCAAGGTTGACTCAGCCTTCCATCCTTTCGAGGTGGGTAAATTGAGGACCCAGTTTGTGGGGGCAATAAAAGCTGACTTTGTATAAAATATACAAAAGGATGAAGGCTATTGCTTAATGCATTGTAAGCCGCCCTGAGTCTCCCGGAGAAGGGCGGCATATAAATCAAATTTAAAAAAAAATAAATCTGTTAATCTCTGGGTCTGGGGAGGATCAGAACCGCTCTCCGACCTCAAGTAAATGCCTGGAGCATCTGTTAGTAAAGGATGCCCGATTTGAGATGCCCGGACTCCAGGTAGTCCCTCGCCCCACCCACCCCGGGACGGCCTGGAGAAGTGGGGGCCGGGGGCGGGGCTTCCAAGCCAAGCTCCTCCCCCTTCCGAAACAAGAAGCGCTCGGCCGACGCTCCGCTTGATCAGACGCCTCTCGGCCGGCCGCTGGAAGGAGGAGCGCGTCGCCCGGCCTTAGCGCTCCTGGGGGATCCCGATCCTCCTGGATCCCGCCCGCGAAGGGGGGGTTCGGCTGAAATCCGCGGGTGTTTCGGCTGGAAGGCTCGTCCCGTCTCTTGGGAGCCGAAACGCGATGGAGTTGGCGGCGGGAGCGGGGCTGTTTCTCGCGCTGTGCTTCGCTGCCGAGCCCTGCCTGGGGGATTCGGGTAAGGGGCGCCCGTGGGGACGGCGATCGGGGTTTCGGGGAAGGTAGCGGTGTCAAGCTAGGAAAAGCAGCGGGAAGGGGCGGTCCGTTCTGTCCCGCTGTAACCAGGGATCGGATCGATCTGGCTGGGTTGGGTTGATTCTCTCCAGAGCTGGACCCAGGGATCGGATCGATCCGGCAGGGTTGAGTGGGAATAGATAGAGCTGGACCCAGGGATCGGATCGATCTGGCTGGGTTGGGTTGATTCTCTCCAGAGCTGGACCCAGGGATCGGATCGATGGCTGGGTTGGGTTGATTCTCTCCAGAGCTGGACCCAGGGATCGGATCGATCTGGCTGGGTTGGGTTGATTCTCTCCAGAGCTGGACCCAGGGATCGGATCGATCTGGCTGGGTTGGGTTGATTCTCTCCAGAGCTGGACCCAGGGATCGGATCGATCTGGCTGGGTTGGGTTGATTCTCTCCAGAGCTGGACCCAGGGATCGGATCGATCTGGCTGGGTTGGGTTGATTCTCTCCAGAGCTGGACCCAGGGATCGGATCGATCTGGTTGGGTTGGGTTGATTCTCTCCAGAGCTGGACCCAGGGATCGGATCGATCTGGCTGGGTTGGGTTGATTCTCTCCAGAGCTGGACCCAGGGATCGGATCGATCTGGCTGGGTTGGGTTGATTCTCTCCAGAGCTGGACCCAGGGATCGGATCGATCTGTTGGAGTGGATTGGAATAGGCTCTCCATAGCTGGCACCCAGGGATCGGATCGGATCGATCTGGTTGGGTTGGGTTGATTCTCTCCAGAGCTGGACCCAGGGATCGGATCGATCTTGCTGGGTTGGGTTGGAATAGATTGTCCGTAGATGGACCCAGGGATCGGATCGATCCGGCAGGGTTGAGTGGGAATAGATTGTCCGTAGATGGACCCAGGGATCGGATCGATCTGGCTGGGTTGGGTTGGAATAGGCTCTCCAGAGCTGGACCCAGGGATCGGAGATCTTGCTGGGTTGGGTGGAATAGGCTCTCCAGAGCTGGATCCAGGGATCGGATCGATCGGGTTGGGTTGGGTTGGAATAGGCTCTCCAGAGCTGGACCCAGGGATCGGATCGATCCGGCAGGGTTGAGTGGGAATAGATTGTCCATAGATGGACCCAGGGATCGGATCGATCTTGCTGGGTTGGGTTGATTCTCTCCAGAGCTGGACCCAGGGATCGGATCGATTGAGTGGATTGGATTGGAATAGGCTCTCCATAGGCTGGACCCAGGGATCGGATCGATCCGGCAGGGTTGAGTGGGAATAGGCTCTCCAGAGCTGGATCCAGGGATCGGGTCGATTGGGTGGGTCGGGTTGGAATAGGCTCTCCACGAGCGGGATTCCGGAACTGCATAGCCTGACGTCCACCAAGAGATCCTTCTTTCTCTCTTTTTAAACTTTCCTTTTATTAATGGCGATGCTGTTTTCATTGTCACTGCCGTCTATTGTTTCCTACAGGAAACTTAGCTGCCAAGAGTTCTCCCCTTGTGACATGGCCGGTTATATGAATTTGCTAGCTAGATAAATAAATGACAGATAACTCCTCAGCTTACCATAGTCCACTTAGTGACCGTTCCAAGTTATAACGGCACTGGGGAAGAAAATGACTTTCGATTGCTTTTCACGCTTATGACCACAGCAGCAGCATTCCCCTGGTCACGTGATTAAAGTTCAGATGCTTGGCCGTTGACTCATATTTATGACGTCGGTCTTCCCCTTTTGCAACCTTCTGACAAGCGAAGTCAACGGGGAAGCCAGATTCGCTTAACAACCACCTTGCTAACTTCACGTCTGAAGCGATTCAGATAACAACTGTGGCGAGACAGCTAGTAAAACGGGGCGAAGCTCACTTATACCACATGTCTCACTTAGCAACAGTAATTTGGGGCTCCATTGCGGTCATCAGTCGAGGACGACCTGTACTCTAAAGCAGCGGTCACCAACTGGTGGTCCGTGGACCACTGGTGGTCCGGGAGAAAATTTTGGTGGTCCGCAGAAAAATTATTTGCATTTTTTATATTGCACTAAATCGGGGGTCCTCAAGCTGTAGCCCCTGGGACAGATACATGCAATGAACATTTGTGTTGCTGCAGAGAGTCTCCCCCTTCGGGGTCTTTTTATGCGGGTCAGAGGGGGGCAGAAATTCTGACGGGGTCTGCTTCAGCCTCCTGGTGAGGGGTTTTGATGAAGGCTGGAGGGAAGTGCTGCTGGTAGCAAAGAGAAGAGGGGCTCATTCCAGTGGGACTGCATCATGGCCTGGAACTGGCTGACTATCTCAGCCTGCTGAGCCTCCAGGCGCCGGTGCCTGACCTTGCACTCCCACAGGTCTTCCCTCTGCTTGGAAAGCCTATGCTCCTAGTCCTCAGTGAGGTGCTTCTGCTGAGCCTCCTTCTCTGCTGAACTGATCTGTTTTGCCAACTCTTTCTCATGGTGGCTGCTTAGCTCCAACAACTGCTTCCTGTTGGGGCTCTAAGGAGCCCGGGTGGGCAGGCGAGGAGTGGCTGGGAGGGGAGGGGCGAGTAGAGGCTGTCGAGGCACCCCTTGATGTGAGTGACATTGAGTTGGCCACACCCACCCAGTCACATGGCCACCTAGCCACGCCCACCCAGCCGGTTATTAGGCAGATCATATTAGTGGTCCGCGAGATTTAAAATTATGAATTTAGTGGGTGTGGCCCACACACTATAATCACCGAAGGGTTGGTGACCCCTGCTGTAAAGGGATGGGAGACTCAACAACCAGCTGGCCACCACTGTTGCACATCTGGAGGGCGCCAGGTTGGGGAAACCAGGGCAAAATTAAAAAAACCCTGCCACGGTGTTCTATATCTTCCACTGGGACAGGATTATGGGTGGGGAGGGGAAACGATGTGAATTATGGATCCCGTTGTCCTGAGGGCTTAAGATGTCGGGCTTGATGCTGGGGGAGCCGAGTTCAGATTCGCCCGATATCTTGGAAACTCACTGACTTTGGAGGAGTTTCTTATTCTCTCGGCCTCACACGGTTGTTGTAGTGCAGGAGTCAGCAACCTGCGGCTCCGGAGCCGCATGCGGCTCTTTGGGCCCTCTGCTGTGGCTCCCTGTCAGGTGATCCCACCACTGGCTGGCTCCACCCCTCACCCTTCCCTCCCAGTTACTCCTTGCCTGGCCTGAGAAGGTAAGGATGACGGCAGGGGATGGAGAAGCGACCAAGGCAGAGACATAGAGATACAGAGAGAGGGGGAGAGAGAGAGATACACAGAGAGAGGGAGAGAGGGGGGGGAGGGAGGTGGAGAGAGAGATATGTCAAAAGGTTTTTGTGGTTCCAGGTGTTTTTTAACAACTGGTTCTCTGCCCTAATGACCGGCTGGGTAGGCGTGGCTGGGGGGGGTGTCATGTGACTGGTGGAAGTGAGTGACATCGAGTTGGCCACGCCCACCTAGGTTTTGTGGCTCCTGGTATTTTCTTTTCTGTGGGAAACGGGTCCAAATGGCTCTTTGAGTGCTTAAGGTTGCAGACCCCTGTTGTAGTGGGTATAGAGCTGCTTTGAAGAAGAGGTGAGGTATAAATCTAGTACATAAAATAAATCGAATAAATAATTGTTGTGTTATTAGAAACAGAAAAGGGAAAAAAAAAAAAACCCTCAAAAGCATAAAGTAGCCTGAGATGCATGCCCTGCTTGACAGATAATTAACATTTAAGTCCCTTTTCTTAACAGCAGGGATAAAAGCGTTATTAGCTCTAGCATTTTCTCTCAATGCGTCTGAATTGTCTTCAGCCTGGTGCTGTCAGAGGGACTCAGCGCTGCGATGCCCATTGGTAGATTAACCACAGTTTGCACCGTTTCCTTTTAAAGAAATATTCAACGTATAACGGTCAAATAAAATGAGCATTTATAACTGCATCGTTTGCCAGCATGTATCATCGCTCAAGAAGAGAAGAGATGTGCTTCTGGGTTGGTCAGTCTAGAGATCCACCCTGAATCTGTTGAGGGCCACTTTTTGATAATCTCCGTGGGTTGCAAAAATAATAATAATAAAAAAATGTTTACTGAGTCTCCGGAGAGGGGCAGCATATAAATTAATTAATTAATTAAATAATTAAATAATTAAATAATTAAATAAATAAATAAATAAATAAACACTTCTCTGCTGCGAAAAAAAATAGAGCCCGAAATTTCTGTTGTTAAGTGAGACATTTCTTAAGTGAAGTTTGCCACCGTTTTACGAACTTCCTGGCCACCGTTGTTAAATGAATCCCTGCCGTTGTTCAGTCAGTCACACATTGTTCTCAAAGACCCCGAGACTCAGCAACGGTCGTAAGTATGAACCAGTTGCCGTGCTGGTGGTCATAGTTCGCTTTTTTTTTTCATTGCGGTTGTGACTTTGAACGGTCACTAAATGAACTGTTGTAAGTCGAGGACTACCTCGGCACTGGCACTGTCCTGCTCTAGACGGAGAAGCAAGTCACAAGAGATTGGATTTTGGCCTCACGTTGGTGTGTAACCCACACAATCATAGAATAATGCAGAAAATCAGGCTTTGTAGATAACAGAAATACTACGAGGGTATGTGTGTGTGTGTGAGTGTGTGTTTGTGTGTGTGGGGGGGGAAGCATTGGGCAAGAGACCTGCCAAGCTGACGAAGCTTTCTCTAGGTATGGCATTTCAAACGTTTTTAATTCGTGGTTCTTGCTAGGAGATCTTTTGAGGCAGACCTCGTTTCTTTTTACTTGAGGAAACAAGGAAAAGTTTCCTCACCTGCAGGAAACCAGAGTAGCTGGTGCTGAAAAGTCCCACGTTTCCAGAGCTAGGTCCTTCAGAGCCAGATGCACCTTTTCCAGATTACAGATGAACAGCGTTGGAAGGGACCTTGCAGGTCATCTAGTCCAACCCCCGGCCCAAAGGCAGGAGACCTTACACCAGTGTTTCTCAACCTTGGTAGCTTGAAGATGGGTGGACTTCAACTCCCAGAAGATTCTGGGAGTTGAAGTCCACCCATCT